AGCCTCACAGAGGGGTGGGGAGCACGCTAACAGACTGGGATCACTTCTCAGAGCCTTTCAAAGGTCTGTGGCAACATGTCATTTCTCTTAAAATCCAGTAAATGGGTAAGGTGAGTCAACATTGACAGACTCAGTAGAGTTGTGCAAGCTGCCCTGCAGTTCCCCACACTGGGCAGCCATTGTGTATTGTCTTTATCTGTGCATTTTTTTCCCCTTGCATGATCAGAGGATCCTCTCACTCATAGCTTTACTTTGTAAATACTCAAGTATTTACTTGAGTAAATACTGGGGCTCTTACAGGTCATCTTTCCTCTCATTATTTATATGTCCTTCCGTGAGCCTGACAGTTCTTCTGGCTGCTAAGTTGGCATAAGGGATGCCAAAATTACAGTGAAAACTCATGCTGCTTGGTCAATGGACTGGTCTACTTAATACCCCCAGGGATCAGTAGATCTCACACATAACATATTACAAGAACCTCTAGAATGAGACTCAACATTCTGACTAAAAGTAATACTTTATTTTATTAAGGATTTTTTTTTAAGATTTATTTATTTTTATTGGAAAGGCAGATATGCAGAGGAGGAGAGACAGAGAGGAAGATCCTCACTCCCCAAGATGGTTCACTCCCCAAGTGGCCGCAAAGCCAGGAGCTCTTCTGGGTCTCCCACGCAGGTGCAGGGTTCCAAGGCTTTGGGCCATCCTTGACTGCTTTTCCCAAGCCACAAGCAGGGAGCTGGATGGAAGCAAGGCCGCTGGGATTAGAACCAGTGCCCATATGGGATCCCGGCGCATACAAGGCGAGGACCTTAACCACTACACTATCGCAGTAGGCCCAAGGATATTTTTAGAAGTTGTGGAAAATGAAGCAAAGATTTTTAAATGCTAAACATTTTAATTGCATGTATAATTTTTTTTTCATAATACACATATTCATAAACTCTTTGAGACCTTTCTTGCATGTGCCTTCACAGTTTATTAAATGCTCCTTTATATGTATTCTTTTTTGAGCTCCTAATAACCCTCATTTTTTAGACATGGAACCTCAGGGCCAGGAGAGGTTAAATGTGACCCAAGTCCATTCACTCTGGTGGTGACGGGGCTGCATCCTGACCTCAGAATTCTGATTTCTTAGGCTTACATTCCTTGTGTCTCCTTGCCGCTGCTTTGTACCTTCTGAGCATGTCTGTTCCATGTCTCTGACCCATTGGTTATACTGAAACCTGCACAGACAGCCTCCCAGCTCCTGCTCATGTACTACTTTAACTTCTGGTTTTTAAATCACATTTTTTCTCTCCTAAATCAGAGGTTTCTCTGAAAATAAAGTTCTAGTGACTCATTTGTTTATTAATGTGTGGTCAGTTGTCCCCATCATTCTATAAGTAGGGTTCTGTGATGAAACCAATTTCCTTATTTGTTTTTAGCATGTTAGGCCATCATCCACGTAAAAGGAACATTTCTGAAATGAGTAGACATAATTTAGGTCTGTTGAACTTTTACAGAATACTAAGTTCTTTTTAAGCTATCTACACAGCTGCAGAGTGGCTTCTAAATCCACAGGTTGAGATCCAGGGGAGCTAGAGAACTTTGCTTCCGTGGGAAGTCTCCCCGAGCCCAGAGCTGGGCTGAGGGATAAGAGGGGCTGGTCAGGCAGGCTCAGCATGCAATTTGTAAAGTGAGAACTTCCTATGTCTTAGTGTTACTTTCAGTTCTGTGGGTGTGTGACCTGAAGACTAAGAAGCAAATACACAGGGAGGGTCAGATCTATGTGACTTTCCCAAAGGCAGAGCCACAAGGAGGGTAGGTGTTTGAGTTTGAAGAAAAATCCCATTCTCAGTAATAAAAACAAATTCAGAAATAGGGAGGGAGAGTGAGACTTAGCTACATGATAGAAAAATAAAAGCACTTGAGGTCTCCAGAAGGGAAAGAGCCAGGACTGTATAAATTTTCTTTTAAGATTTGTTCAATTTTTTTTTTTTTGAAAGGCAGAGCCAATTTCCAGAAAGAAGGAGAAAGAAAGATTCTTCCATCTGCTGGTTCACTCCCCAAGTGACCACAGTGGCTGAAGCTGAACTGATCCAAAGCCAGGAGCCAGGAAGTTTCCTCTGGGTGTCCCACACGGGTGCAGGGTCCCAAGGCTTTGGGCTGTTCTCGACTGCTTTCCCAGGCCACAAGCAGGGAGCTGGAAGGGAAGTGGAGCTGCCGGGATTAGAACCGGTGACCATATGGGAACCTGGTGCTTGTAATGTGAGGATTTAGCCATTGAGCTTTCACACCAGGTGCATACATCTTGTTAATTTTGCCATCCCCTCCTGTTTGACAATGATCCTTTTAAAAAAATATTGAAACAGGACAGTGCTTATGTTTGTCTTTGAGAGAACAAAAAGGAGAGGCAGCTGTGAAATTTTGCATTTATCTTTACTCGGGCTTAGAATGTAGGAACTGGAAAGTATTTTTGAGTAAGAAGCCACTCCTCATGTGGCTTCTTGGCCTAGCAGAGAGAATCAATACCTCCTCACTCCCACAGAGCCAGTGTTGCACCACTTCCTGCCAGTGGTTTTGGTTGGCCCTGAGGCCAACATGTGAGCTGTGCCCACTTTCAGAAATTGGGCTGAGTGGGTAAGATGGGTGAGCTAATTTCAATAAGCAACTCTTGGTGTAGGTTTTCTTTTATCCTCCTTTCTCCACAGGCTTTTGGCTTTTGGCTTTCAGTAGCAAAATAGCTGGCTTCTGTTTGTTCCATTGACCTCACTGCTCAGGGAATTTTCGAAAGATTTCTCACTTGTCTTTATCCTTGGTAGCTGGGAAGCTCTCCCATCCTCTGCTTTTTTCCCCTTGCACTGAAATGCCTTGCATTAATAGCAGTGTGCATGTCAGGCAGTTCTCTTCTCCTTCCAGTCCTACCTCAACCCCTAAGTCTGGGCCAGAATTTGATCCTCCCAGGAGATCCGTTGAATGTAAAGACAGACAACTCTTTACTCACTCAGGCAGGCTGTCTGACTTTGAGTGTTCAAACAGCTATTGAAACAGCACAGTTAGCATCAGAGCTGGATGTCTTATTAAGAATTCTTAAGTTTGGACTTGCCGTGGACTGGTTCATTTAGAGATAAGCCCAAGGACCTTTTACTCAAGAACCAGTCCAGCATAACGTGTCCAAGACACAAGTTTTCTTGACTCAAAAGTGCTACTTATCAAGAGGATCCTACCGTCCCAGGTGTTGATTCCAAGATTCTTCTCAATCATACTTAATCAAGAATACCCATTCTTAAACTGCTTTCTCTTCAAGCTCCACTCCTAACCCAGAGTAAGAGAGCATTTATTAACAGCAGTTCTAAAAATGATTAAATATTGGATAAAGGGCAACATTCTAGAACATGGATGCTTCACAGACATGCGCAAGATTCAGTCCTTTCCTTCCCTCAGAGAACTCATACCAGCCTTAATGCTATAACGTTAAAGTTGTCAGACTACTGAAGTCTTCTGAAGTTTAAAGGAGGAAACAATTTCTGTATGCCACAAAGTTTTGTAAAGATGACAACATTTGAGGTAAGCCTCGTAGGATGAGTTGATTTGAGTTGTCATGGATACAAGTAGCAAAATCAGGCATTTCCAAGGTAGAAGGAATAATGAGAGCAAGTGTACAGAATTGTAGATGGGTGGGGAAGAATCATAAGTGGTTCCATTTGAGTAGAACTTAAAATATGGAATGTGCAATACTGATTGGAAGATATCCAGTGACATGTTGTGAAAGGAAGTGTATTGATTATGGAAAGATTAATCTTGGTTGGGTAGTCGTAAGGGGGCAGTTAGGGGACAAGTATGGTAGTCCAGGCAAGAGGTAATAGGGCTTCAGTTAGATTGAAAAGAAGGGCCAAAATGACAAGCTTTGTTAGATTGCTTATAGACTTCAGGCTGTTGTGGACAAGAGTACAAGACCAGTAGTGACTGACAGTTTTTATCTAGACACTTAAGAAAATGAGGCACCCAAACCACAATATCTGAAGGAATAGCAGGCTGTAGGGAAAGTTAGTGGGTGTGCAATTAGACATGGGAAGAATCATGTGCCTGTTGGATAACCAAAAAAGGATTTGTAGGAAATCGTTGGAATTGGGAATCTGAAACTTAAAAGGCAGTATAGTTGGGGACTTGGATGTAGAAAGATACTGTCCAAGAATGTGTGGAAGGAGGGAAGGTCATGGACAGAAGTGAGAAGAGATCTCGCTTAGAAAGGATTTGAAAGCAACAGTTAAAAGGGTAGAAAGGAGAGGAGCACGATGTAACACAGAAGTAGCAGCCAAGAAAGGAGAGAAGGGGTGTCTACAGAATGGAAGCCAGCCATCCTCATGGGCAAGAGGTTTCTAACAGCTCAAGAGACCCATCCTTCTGTGAATCTGGGTTTGGGAATAGAGCCTAGCCAAGTCTCCAGAGGAATAAACAAAAAAAAAGATTCTGTGTGATCCAGCCAGCCTCCTTTTATAAAGGGACTCGCATTTTCCTGTAGAAATCTGTTCAGAGACCTAGCGGCTAAAGTCCTCGCCTTGCACATGCCAGGATCCCATTTGAGCACTGGTTCTAATCCAAGCTGCCCCACTTCCAGAGCTCTCTGCTTATAGCCTGGGAAAGCAGTCAAGAATGGCCCAAAATCTAGGGACCCTGCACCCATGCAGAAGAAAGAGAAGAGGTTCTGGTCTCTTGGCTTTGGATCAGCGCAGCTCTGGTGATTGTGGCCATTTGGGGAATGAACCATTGGACGGAAGATCTTCCTCTGTTTCTCCTCCTCTCTGTATGTCTGACTTTCTAATGAAAGTAAAATAAATTTTTAAAAAAAGAAAAGAAATCGGACCAGGCCAGGCACCTCTGAGCATGAGTTGGGTGAAAACAAGCAGGTGCTGGTCCTCACCCTCACTTATTGCCCCCTTGCCAGACGTGTTTTCTTTGATGGGAGCTTGCAGTGTTGGAAGGCTCTACCCCGCTGACCCTGTTCTACCCTGTCTCCTCAGAGTCTGTCCTAGGGAACTGCATGGATAGAAGTTCTCCAGGACAAGCCATGGAGCTGCCAGACCACAACGGACTTGGATACCCAACACGGCCCTCAGTCAGCGAGCACCACCGGCCCCGGACCCTCCAGAGACACCACACAATCCAGAACAGCGACGACGCTTATGTATGTTGGTGCCCTGCTGCCCTTCCGAGGTGGGATCCTGCCAATCTCAACTTGAAAACGCAGTTTAGTCGTGTCCCTCAGCTCCTCTCAGAGCACCAACAGCACCGAAGTGGGTCATATATATATATGTGTGTCTAAAACACAAAGCACAGCATACCCCTTTGGTACTTCAGAAGGAGCCTGGGGTGTTTTCTTATTTCACCCATTGTCAGGACTCTTCTAGAGGAAAACAACTAAGGGGCACCTGAGCTTGGCACATTCTCTGGAGCCTTTCTTTATATGTCTTTCTTTAATTGTTTTCTAGGTGCAGCTGGATAACCTGCCAGGAATGAGTCTCGTGGCTGGAAAAGCCCTTAGTTCTGCCCGGATGTCAGATGCTGTTCTCAGTCAGTCCTCACTCATGGGCAGCCAGCAGCTTCCAGAAGGGGAGAGTGAGGGTAAGCGACCTTAGGGACAGAGGACACTAGAGAAGTCAGCGAGAGGGCTTTCCTGCTGTGTAGGTCCACAACTGTTCCCTGTTCTGTACAGAGAGTTCAGGGAGAAGCAGAGCCCCAGCGGGCTCTTTCGTGACTGCCTCTAATTAGAAGGCATTATGTTCTAATGGAGCATTTTTGCTCTCCTGAGAGCTAGTCCAAAGGTGCGGGCCAAAATGGTAAAACATGGACACCACTTTTGAAAAAAAAAAAAAGATTTATTTATTTTATTGGAAAGGCAGATGTGCAGAGAGGAGAGACAGAGAGGAAGATCTTCCATCCGATGATTCACTCCTCAAGCGGCCGCAATGGCCAGAGCTGAGCCATTCCAAAGCCAGGAGCCAGGAGCTCTTTCGAATCTCCCACGTAGGTGCAGGGTCCCAAGACTTTGAGCCATCCTCAACTGCTTTTCCCTGGCCACAAGCAGGGAGCTGGATGGGAAGCAGGGCTGCAGGGATTGGAACCGGCGACTATATAGGATCCCGGCACGTTCAAGGCAAGGGCCTTAACCATTACACTATTGCGTCGGGCCCTGGACACGACTCCTTATAAGCCCTACACATAAGGCACTTAACTTTTCTGGACCCCAAGTTCCTCGTCTATAAGGAGGCAAAAGTAATAGTGACTGCATCCTAAATTGTGCCATGAGGGGGTCAAGTATCCTGCTGAGGATAAAGTGCTTAACACATAACTAGAACACTCAGTGCCCGGGAGTGGGCCCTTCCCAACCCTGAAGTTACTGTGTCTTTCAGCCTAAGGAAGGTGAAATATTCTTTAATTTTTTTTTAAAAAAAATGTTTATTTGAAAGGCAGAGTTAGAAAGAGAGAGAAAAAAGAGGAGAGAAATGTTTCATTCAGTGGTTTATTCCCCAAATGGCCACAACAGCCAGGATTGGACCAGGCTAGAGCCAGAAGCCTGGAGCTTCATGGAAATCTTCCACTTAGGCGCAGGGATCCAAGCACTGGGACAATCCACTGCTTTCCCAGGTACATTAGTAGGGATGTGATTGGAGGACATGAACCTGAGCCCATATGGGATGCCAGCATCACAGGTAGTGTCTTCACCTGCTGCACTACAACACCAACTCCAAGAAATAGGCTGTTCTGAAGGAACAGGTTCTTCTTTCTTACCTCTGTGCTGCAACTGATCCTGCTTAAAGGTGCTAAAGAATAAGGAAAAGAGGGAAACTGGGGGGTAAGTGTTAACAGCGCGGCTGGCTAGGTTGCTGCCTGGGGTGTCCACAGCCCATATCAGAGCACCTGAGTTGAAGTCCCAGCTACTCTGCTTCCCATCTGGCTTCCTGCTAATATGCCTGGGAGATCTCAAATGATGGCTTAACTACTTTGAGTCCCAGTCACCAACTTGGGAGACCCAAATGCAATGTCTCACTTCTGGCTCCTGCCTGGCCTGACAGCAGTGTTGCAGGCATTTGTGAACTAGTGGATGGAAGGCCTCTGTTTGTCTGTCACTCAGCTTTTCAAATATGCACTTTAAAAAAAAAAGAAGAAGAAATGACGAAATGAGCCATTTAGAGAATAAGGAAAGACTCCTGGGCCCCAGCCTTAGTCACTAAACCCCTTGAGGATCGTCCGTTGTTTGCTGGAATTGAGGGCTGTAGGTGCTCAGAGACTCTGCCCCCTCTTTCCTCATCCCCCATCCCCTCACACCCCTGCTCTGCTCCCTGCCCATCTCACATGTTCTCTTTGGTTTTCCAGAATGTGCAGTGAGTCTGGGGGCTCACGAACAGAGTGACGGCAGCCAGCACGTAAACTCCTCTTGTTACCCATCCACGTGCATGACAGACATTCTGCTCAGCTACAAGCACCCCGAGCTCTCCTTCAGCATGGAGCAGGCAGGCGTGTAGCAAGGAACAGAGTGAGTGTCGCCCACACCAGGGCCACACCAGCCACGTGGTCCAGCACCCGCAGCCGGGCCAGTGAGCAGCTTCAATCCTCGTGTGGTGGCAGTGCAGTGGTCCCTTGGCACGGCATTTACATCTTCCCTTCTTATCACCAACTGGTCCGATGCTAGTTTTGGGATATGAGCATAGTGGGTTTAGAACTAATGACTTGGTCCCTAGGTTTCATTCCTGGGCTCAGACGTGTGACCTGCCACGTTGTATTACAGGTACTGTCACCCTCATTGAGACTAGTGAGCTGTAGCACCAAAGGACAGAGGTGACTGACCTCTGACCAGCATAATAAGGCATGGACCTGAAGGATGAAACCCAGCAAGAATGCTTGGCCAGCCATATTTTTAAGACTACTGAAGCAAATGGTGGGCTAGTCCAGACAGAGGAAATATGTGATGAGAGGCCAGTGGTAGAAAGGGGTAAGCTGACTGGTTTGGCTGGAGTCATGTATAGGGTGCCTATATAGGGACTGTTAATTCTGCCTCTGAAAAACCTCTGCCTAAAAAGGCTTAATAATTAGAAGCCGTCTGGCAGGTGCATCTCCGGGCTTCAGCAATGCTAGGCTTTTCAGTGACCCAAGGTGGAAGGGAGCCTGCCGGAGTGTTTGAGTCTTTCCCTCTACACACTAACTGTCCTCTCTGCTTTGTTGCAGGTTTTGTGTACAGCTCGGGAATGAAAAGGTTGATTTTTAAACCAACAGTATCTAGCAGCGTTGCGCCAAATTGCCCTTGTGTTTCTCTTCACCCAGAATATCATGGTTCATTTCCTCACATTTGGTTCACAGTGTGCTCTTTGTTCTTTTGGGTTCTGAGGCGGTATTGCCATATTTGCTTGTATGACCAAGACACGAAGGAAATAAACAGGAAATCCATGTTCTCCATCTTTTGTGAAAGTGTATTTAGTGTATTTGAGTTGATGTTGATGGGTTTTTTTTGTTGTCGTTGTTTAATTTTTGGATTTGTTTGTACTTTTTGGGGGGGCATGTTTTGCTTTGGAAGTGTTTTTCTTTCTTTGTCTTTCCCCCCACTCTTTCCACCTCCTTCCCTTTTCTTGGACAGGATAACTGAGCAGTTAGGAGTTTAGAGGCCAGGGGATCAGCTCCAACCCCCTTCCCAGCCTGTATCCACAGAGTAGCTTGCGTGTCCGTGGCTCATCTCCTGCAGAGGAAGATAGTAAAGGAAAACAGCCTGTTGGATCTCAGTGGCTGGGGAGCGGAGAGAGGTGGTGGTCATGGCCTCTGGCATTGGCAGAGAAAGAGAAACCCTAGGCCTCGAACCCAGGCAGGTGTGGAATGCAGAAATCCATGGGGGAAATGTGTGGCTCAGCCCCGATGATCTCAGTCCCTTAGCACAGAGGCTGAGAATGATCTGGAGCCGTTGGGTCTCCAGACAGAATGGCTCAGTTTGAGCGTCTCATTGGTGTCTAGCACAGCTTCCCCCTTGTGGCCTGGGAAACCCATTGCCTTTCCCGTCCTGGTTCTACATGCGGACTGAAGACCCACATGTGGCGCACTGTGCTCTCTGTCACCTTGCATTCTCATTTTTATATTGTGCTATAAAGAGGATTGCTTTCTCTGTGTGTGTGCGTGTGCACAGACACACAGACACTCTTGCTGTCCCCTTCTGGTCTCTTTGTTACGGGCAAAAATAGATTGTCTTGGGTCCTGCCTCTCTCCTAAACTGCTCCCCCTCTGCGCATCTTCAGCCCCTACATTTTAATTCTTGATCATGTAGGAATTTTTTTTAATAAATGCGGATATTATTGTTATTATTAGTAATAAAGACAAAAGGAGTTTTTATTTCCAAGAGAACTGTTGAAGCAGATTCTGTTGTGTTTGCATTGTGACTTGCACCTTTTGTTCAGAATGTTTTCTTTAGGCATCGTAGTTGCGCTCCTCCCCTCGCCAGCGGCCGACGCGGCCGTCCCCTCGCCCCGGCTGAAGCGGCGCCTCTGCACTAGTTCTCGCTTTTGTCATGATCTTGATTTCACTGTTAGAAACCAAAGTCTTCTCTGCTGGCTGGGGGCTGAGAGAGGATCTGGCTCATCCCTTTCTCATTTTCAGAAACAAAAGAGAGACGTTACACATTGTGACTCTCGACTTTCCTTTCTGGGAACGGAGAGTGAAAGGCCCCTCATCCTTCCTCGTCTCTCGTCCTGAATTTGCACAGAAGAAAGCGGGTGTCCGGCATGGCCATCCTGAGGTTGCTGGCAGGATCCCCATGCGCCTTGTCCTTGCTTCCCTGACCATGGCAGCTTGGTTTTTGGACCCCGTAGCCCTCAGGTGGGCTTGTGCAGTGCAGGGGCCTGTCAGCAGGGCCCTCATCCCCTCCACTGGTGTGGGGAGGGAGGCCACCAGCTACTCACCGGAAGGGGGCATACCAAGAAAACCCTAAAAGCTACTGTTAGACTTCTCGGGCTGGTTCCAAAGCTGGTGCCTCCCAACTCGCCCTGCCGCTGCCACAGGCTCAGCCTGATCTGTTGACGTGGTCCTGGGCGTGTGAAGCAGCAGCTTGCCACCCTCCAGCAACTGCGCAGATGAAAGCCAGCGAGCCTGTTAACCGTGCCATCTTGCGAACTACACTTTAAAAAAACAAAACAAAAAACATTGCTTTGTATTGTAGTAACCAAAATGCGCAGTATATGTTGAATGTATATGAATATACTATACTTTCCTATTTCTGTTCTTCGAAGTTGTCAGAAATATTTTTTTCCTTTCTCATTTATGTTGAACTGAAAAAGATTAAAAAACTACAGATTCCAGTTGCTATGAGCTTTTGTTATATTTGGGGGGAAGGAATGGTAACTGAGTCTGAAGACTTAGTAACGGAGTCAGGCAGTGGGATCCTGTGAGAATCCACACCAGATTATGTTCTTAGGTTGATGTATCTGCCTTGTGGTAAAGAGTCTAGTTCAGCGACTGATCCAGGCAGGCAGGAACTGGAGCCCTGGAGACTGAAGCAATCCCGGGCCTAAGGGTTGGGTCCAGAGGGTTCACGATCACGTCTTGGCTGTCGGTAGAAACCTGGACTTAGCATCACCCTGTGCTGCTGGACAGCCAGCATGGACTCTAGCCCCGGAAGGGTGCGTCTGAGTTTGCTGAGCTGGAGAGGAAACATTCCTTGAAAGGCTACCTGGGAACAAGTAGAGGGAAAGAGATGCTGAAAGCACAGGGCGATGGGGCCTCTCTGCAGCGGCCCTGTTGAGCCCGGTGATGTGATGCACACAAAGAAATGGTAAGGTAGCAGGGGAATGTTTCCTGTTGTTTCTCCTTTTTCCCTGGACTCCAAAGGGCAGGGTAGGATTTCAGGCAAAGTCTCAAGCATGGCCAAAGAGGTAGCCAGTGGCTGTTGTTGTAGGAAGAACAAATGGATTGCAACACCGGAAGTTGAGAGGGTGGATTTTAAAAGCTTTGAGTCCGCAGGGGACAGAAAAGATCCTTCTCAGAGCCTTCTAGAAATCCTGTGCTTACACGCCCCGATGCAGGACCAGGTGAGCCTGTGGATTCAGGGAGAATCCTTCCAGTAGCTTGGCATTGCTGCTGCATTGGGTCCCACCCCGTCCTGGTCAGCCAGCATAACCTCTGGGTTAGAAGTAGGGGAGCTGCCCTGAGACTGCAGTCCACTGTCTCTGTGCAAACCTGGCCATGTCTGAGCTGAGGATCACAGAGGCCATGTTGACGGAGCCTTCTGAGAGTTTTCTGACTCGTGGCCAGGCCCCACCCCCACTGCAACTGCAAAGATAAGAGCTCAGGGAGCTGCTGTGCCTCCCTCTTGAGGATCAAATATGAGCTGTGTCTTGGCCTTTGTCTCTTAAGTGGAGTGTAGGAGAGAAGCATGCCCACTATATTAGAACATTCTGTCTCAGGCTCTGCTCTAGCCTTCTGTCACAAGAGCAGCAACAAAATTGTCATCCAGGAAATAGTGAGTGGGGAGCATCTTTTTCTCCCCTGCTCTGTCAGAGTCTCCGGCTCACCTCGCATCCTGGTCCTCAGCAGGTGCTCTCCAGCATAATGTCCTGAGCAGGGGCTGCTCCAAGGTTCAGCGAGTTTCCTGAGCCTCCTCCCCTAAGGCCTGCAAGCTCACCCTTTGCCAGTCTGGTGACCTGTCCTTCCTTGTACCTGTGTCACTCATCGAGCAAGCATTTGATGAGTATCTGGTAAATGCCAGGCCTGCCAAGGGACAGAGTCCTCCCAAGGCTGACTGATCACAGTAGCTGAGACGTGGACTGTGAAACAATAATTCAGAGCAAAATCCACTTCTGAGCTGCATTCTGCACATCAGGGCTGGCACTTGATGACCTAGTTCAGAAACAGCTAGCTGCTTTGGAGACCCCAGCATTGGGGGTCAGGGATGCAGGCAGTGGGAACAGGGCTCTTATCTCCCCTAGCACTAGTCCAGTCCACGGGTACTTGCATCTCTAGCAGAAGCCTGGCACTATACAGAGTCCCACGGTTTTTTGTTGGTGTCTCTGGGCTTCTGTCCAGAAAGACTTCCTCTCCAGAATAATAGTGCAGGTGTTTGGACCAGCGGAAACCAGCTGTCTTACAATGGAATAGAGTCGACCTTGGCAAATCAGTACATGCAAAAAGGCAACCACATTCTTGGTCACATGCTCCTGCCTTGATGCCTAAAGTCCTTAAGACAGAAAGCCAATAAGCTCCCGATGGAGACCACCATCAAAGGATCAGACCTCTTGCTTCCCAGCTCTGCTAGCACTCAGTGCTAAAAGCTGAGGAGGGATGCAGGGCAGATTGCAACATCTCTGGGCTTTCTCACAGGCAGAAAAACAAAGGTAAAACCTAACTGCTAGGTGTACAGGAACAGGCTGCATGGACTGTGCAGGTGTTCTGACCACTGAAGAACTGTACAAATGCTAGATCCCACTGTGAGCCATAATTTTTTTCAGTAATAAAGCAATCAGAGGAATAATAATCTTAGTGGACTAACTAGTAAACTGCTGAGAATCCCACATGCCAGCAGAGCTGAGTGCCAACAACCTCCCCCTCCCGAAAAAAAAACCTTATTTTGGCCTGCTCCACACAAAGCAGTTGACCTGCATCCCTGTCTAAACCTCGGACAGCTGGGATGACCAGGTTCAGCCCTGGAAGACTGTTCACCCCGGCCACCGCCTTCTCTGCACAGCTTCATGGGTATCTAGGCCCAGTGCAGTCTTCAATCAAACGTCCCACACCTTGGCATCCTCACATCAAAGACTGTGTAGAGAAACAGGAAGTCCCTGCCGCCTTCCACTTCTGCTGCCAGAAGTTGAGGTCTTGAGCTGACGATGCAAGTGTGTTTCTGGGAATTACGCATATAGCAGAGCAGAGACTGTGATCAGGGGCTGCAGAATAGCTACAGTTACCTTTCTAGCAGTTTCACAAACCTGTTCAGATGTTGTGCTTAAAGCAAAAGAAATTTAGCATCTTCTAGCTCTGGACGGATCAGAAATCCAAAGTAGATCACACAAGCTGAAAAGCAAGCGTCAGCACAGCTGAGTTCTCTGTGGAGGCTCCTGGGGTAGGGGAAGGTATGCCTCACCTTTCCCAGTATCTAGGGAGAAGCTACCCTCATGCTTCAACTCATGGCCCCCATGCAACAACCACATTCCTTTTCCTCCCCGGGGTTCCCTGCCTGTGACCCCAGGTGTACCTAAGGATTCCTGTGACGACATCTGGTCCACCTGAGTCATCCTCACCCCATTGCCAGGGCCTGCACCACCCCTGCAGAACCCCTGTGCCACGTAGGACAACACAGGCAGACTTCCCAGGGAGGGATGTCTGCCTCCCACGCAGTAACCCTGACTGTAACCCGAGGCGCTGTGTTCTGTCACTCTATGTCACAGATAAGACACTGAGGTGTGGGGAAGTTATGTAACGACCATAGTCCCACGCAGCTGGGAAGAGGTGGGTAGGGCTGAGGTACAACCTTAAAGTTTTCTGGCCCCAAAGCCTTTTTAAGGCAGGAAGCATGAGGCTGGCTAAAGTGGAAGAAGCTTGGAGCCAGCCACTCCCAGGCCCGGCAGAATGGAACTGTGGCTTTAAGAACGTTAGAAAGGTTTCCTAGAGAACACCCTTGTGCCCTAGGTCCCAAATCCAGAGCTCTGAATCTGGAAAGCCCAGTTTCTGAATCTCTGAGAGATGTGATGGACCTCACTCCTCAGATCCTTGCTGGGAAGATGGTGGAGTGGGAAGAGGTTGGTCAGCCCCACATTGCCTCTCCATTGGACACTGACAACCTCCGTACCTTGGGTGCCCTCTGTGACCTGGGTGGAAGGGCCTGGCCCTTCCAAGAGAACCCTCACAAGGTGGCCCTGCAGACAGTGGGTGAACATACAGCCACATACGTGTGCAGGCTACCTCTGCAGCCTCCGCCATCGCTGACTATTCTGCCCCCTTGTGTAGATAAGAAACCAAGGCTGGGTAAGCTTGTGAGCCTCTGCTGGTGAGATGTGGACAAAGTGAGGTGAAAAGCTGCCCTCTTGCCACCTGCTAGTCCGGGGGCCCTTCTCCCTGGCAAACGGCTGATGTGCTGTCACCTGTGTGTGCGCCCAGGTGCACGTCAATAGCACAAAGTTACACACCTCCAGCATAAGGGCCTGCAGCTCTAGTGTAGCTCTAGTGACTCTCCTCTGATGTTGTGAAGTCCAGCTTAGTGTCTTAAAGGGATGACCCGGAGAGACGGGGAGAATTCCATTGTTTTGGAGGGGGTGCTACCTTTATGTGACAAAACTGAACATTGGTAGTTCCCTGTGGGTCTCCAGAATTGGTCTGGGAGTGCCAGAAGGTTCCGGAATCTCAATCTGGGCACCACTGAGTCTCTCTTACAGTCTCTCCAGGCAACTCCCTGACAGTGCAGGTTCCCAAAGGCACAATTGGCACAAGTTGGAAGGTCTCTGCAGAGTGTGGGCGGTGCTTATGGGTACCACGGAGGAACTGTGGCAGCCTGAGGTGGGCACAGGACAGTCCAGGGAGTCCCTGCATCCTTGCCCTGCCCTCCCCCTTCAGCATAAGCATCAAAGACAATGGTAGGCATTCAACCTCTCCCCTTCCCACCAACCCTGGGGCCTAGGAGTCTAGCAACCACTCCCCTCCCATCCCTCTCTGAACCCTTGACCCCCGGCCCTGCAGCCCCCACAGCTTCCTGTTTGCCCACTCTATTTGCCAAGCCCAAGGGACAGAGCTGATCCTTGAACTCTAAGTTCCACATGGCCAGGACCAGTGAGCGGTGACTTGGCCGGGGCCTGGCTGGGCTTATCAGCCTCCCAGCCCAACCCCTGTGCCTGGAGACATAAATAGGCCCTGGAAGAGCTGGCTGCCAGACACTGTCAGACAGCCCACAGCAGGTGAGGGAGGTAAGTGCAGGACCTGCCCCACCCTGGGCTCTGGGTACCTGGCTGGAGGGAGCCGGAGAGCAGCACCTGACTCCTTCGCACAGAAAGCCCGGTTCTCAGGCAGGCTCCTCTTCCGCAGGTCACACACTACTGCAGGATGAAAGCCGTGGTGTTCACCTTGGCTGTGCTCTTCCTGACAGGTAGGAGCCTCTGGCCCGGGGATCCCTAAAACCCTGTGGCCCCACCCTCCTGGGGCCCCAGGCAAGTGCCCTTCCCACCTCCCCAGTTTAAATTCCAGCTCGGAGCTGGTCTAATCCGGGGCCTCCCTTGCCACCACCCCCAGGGAGCCAGGCTCGGCATTTCTGGCAGCAAGATGAGCCCCAATCCTCATGGGACAGATTCAAGGATTTTGCCACTGTGTATGTGGATGCTGTCAAAGAAAGCGGCAGAGACTATGTGAACCAGTTTGAAGCCTCCACCTTGGGAAAACAGCTGAAGTAAGCATGTGGTCTGCCACCTGGGACAGGGGTGGGGGTGGACACACAGGCCTGGAAGAAGATGTGGGGGCCAGACTGCTGCCGCCCCACCCCAGGCCTAGATGGGAGAATGGGCACTGGGTTCCCTGGCAGGGTGACAGCCCTCCAGGACAGGACAGCCCAGTGCTGCCCATGTCCCACCTCTGCTTCTGTCCAGCAGTGTCTGTCTTTGTTCAGGACAATGGACAAGGCATAGACAGGCAAGGGTCCTCAAGGGCACCTGTCTCAGCCGTGTCCCCTCCTGGGTCTTCTCTGGTCAGCCCGTTGCTTATCTGTACAATGGGATTGGGGTGTGGGGGAAGAAAGGGAGCAACAAATGCGATGGTTGCCCTCTTGCCACCTGGTGTGGAAGCTGAGCCACACAACCACCGCACATTGGCCGACAGGTGGAGCCCAGGGCTCACCTAGGTAGTCAGGTGCCAGGTGCCTGGAAAGCCAGCATCTCTCAGCCCCCTTGTGTCCGCCCCCAGCCTGAATCTCCTGGAAAACTGGGACTCCCTGGGCACCACAATGACGAACCTGCGCGAACAACTCGGCCCCGTGACCCAGGAGTTCTGGGATAAACTGGAGAAGGAGACAGAGGGACTGAGGCAGGAGATGAACAAGGACCTGCAAGAGGTGAAGCAGAAGGTGCAGCCCTACCTGGACGACTTCCAGAGGAAGTTGCACGAGGAGGTGGAGCGCTACCGTCAGCACGTCGAGCCGCTGAGCGCCGACCTGCAGGAGAGCGCGCGCCAGAAGCTGAGCGAGCTGCGGGAGAAGCTGAGCCCCTTGGTCGAGGACCTGCGCGACCGCGCGCGCTCCCACGTGGATGCACTGCGCACGCAGCTGGCGCCCTACAGCGACGAGATGTACGACCGCATGGTCAAGCGCCTCCAGGCCATCAAGGAGGGTGGCGGCGCCAGCCTGGCCGAGTACCACACCAAGGCCAGTGAGCACCTGAGCGTGTGGAGCGAGAAGGCCAAGCCTGCGCTGGAGGACCTCCGCCAGGGCCTATTGCCGGTGCTGGAGAGCGTCAAGGCCACTTTCATGAATCTACTGGAGTCCGCCAAGAGCAGCCAGTGAGGGGCCTGCCGACGCCGCCCTGCGCTCCAGCGTTCAGTTTCCTAAAATAAAATCGTTTCCAACAATGGAACAGCGTTTTTCTTTGGGGGGAAATGGAAGCGGGGTGAGATGGTGCTGGAAGGGACAGTCCTGGACAACCCTGGGGTGTGGGCGTGGAACCGGGGCTCTGCTTTGGGGGTGACAGAGGAGTCTCTGGCCTAATGGAGGAGGGCCCGGTGGAAGCGACAGTCCAAGATCAAGCGCGGGGTGGGGAGTAGGGAGGCCGTAACAGCGGGTGCTACAGCCCTGCCTGAGGGTCGGGAAGCAGGGAGAGCTCTGCCAGGAGTAGATTCCCTGTTCCTGGAGATGTTCCCGGATGCAAGCTGGGCACGTGAAGCTGTGTGCCTACCTGGGCCGAAGGCAGGAGCCTTTGCCAGCTCTCTGGCTCTAAGCTGGATGGGGCGGGCCTTAAGAAGCCGTTGGAACAGGGAGGGTTCTGGCACATTTAAATGAGCTGCTTGCAGCATGCTCAGCGTGTTGCTTCCTCCTTTATTAATTGAAGACATGCTTAAGGGGCTGCATTGGCATCGAACGAAGCTGCTGCCTACCACAATGTGGACAGCCCATACAGGCATTAGATGGAGTCCTGGCTGCTCCACTTCCAACAGAACACTCTGCTAACATGCCTGGGAAAGCAGCAGAGGATGGCCTAAGGACTTGGGTCCCTGTATCCATGTGGGAGACTCGAAGAAGCTTCTGGCTTCTGGCTTGCAGTCATTTGGGGAGTGAGCCAGTGGGTGGAAGATTTCTCTTTCTTTCTGTCTTCCAAATAAATAAATACTTTTTTAAAAGATTTTTGAAAAATTTTTATTGCAAAGTCAGATATACAGAGAGGAAGATCTTCCGTCTGATGATTCACTCCCCAAGTGGCCGCAATGACCAGTGCTGCGCCAATTCGAAGCCAGGATCCAGGAATTTCTTCCAGGTCTCCCACATGGGTGCAGGATCCCAAAGCTTTGGGCCGTCCTCGACTGCTTTCCCAGACCACAGACAGGGAGCTGGGTGGGAAGCGGGGCTGCCGGGGTTAGAACCGGCACCCAAATGGAATCCCAGCACGTTCAAGGTGAGGACTTTAGCCGCTAGGCCACAGTGCCAGACCCAATAAATACATTAAAAAAAAAAATGTCTCAGCAAACACTTCCTTCTTCCATTGCACGAGGTCAGTATCCCCTGGCCCTACCTAGAAACAGGCACAGGTATGGCAGCCAGCCAGCCAGCCTGCCTGCCCCAATGGCGTCCTGCCAGCTCTGACCACAGTAAAAAAAAAAAAAAAAAAAAAAAAAAAAAAAAAAAAATTCTCTGCCTCTTGCAGGTGGCCAGTACATCTTACTTCCATGATGCTCTCTTTTGTTCCTGTGCCTCCTTCTTCAAATCCTGGGTGAGTGGCCATCACACCCCGGTCATGGGTGGTGCAACCACAGCTGTGAAGTTGCTCACCAAGTGAAAGGCAGCGTGGACCCTCCTACCCTTGTAGACTCATCTGCCCTTGAACACCCGCGATGATCAGTTTTAATGTGCATGGCCAGGCACTCGAGTCGGTGCAGATGTGCACACCTTCTCTTCCCACTCAGCTCCACGTGCACACCTGTGCGTGTCAGGCACTACATCCCTGCAGCCCTCCCTACCCTCTCCCTGCAGCCCCCCAGACCATCTGCCCCTCCCCCATCTCCTGGGCTTCTCAACAATCCCTTGACTAAAGGAGTGAGCTCTCCAGTTCCCTAGCTGTCCTAAATAAGAGGTGCCAAGGGTGGGAACATTTTACAGGTGTGGGTACTGGGACTCCCTGCTCCAGGGAGACCAGAAGAGAAGCCCATGTGGATCTGCAGAGAGAAATCCATCCCTCCATGGGGCTGGACATTCTGCTGCCACTGGTACATCCAGTGCCCAGCATCCAGATGGCAAAGCTGTTTGTTGTGCCAACTGAACAGAACGTGGGCAGCTGACACAGGCTTGAGGTCTGGCCCTTCCGATTGCCATCTCTGTGACATCACACAAGCACTATCGTTTCTCTGAGCTTCTGCCTTTGCATCTGAAGACAGGAGTGGGAGTGTTCTATGTTTCTAGAACCATCTAGAACTCTCTGAGTGTGAGTATCTGCTGTGTGCAGGTGACACAAGGGCAGTAGCCCCTTTGGGGGTGACCTTGTCCTTCTCAGATCTTCTCCAGGCCTGGTTCCAAGGAGCCAACAAAGCGGCCATGGCCCAGCTGTTACTGAGGTGCAGGTTTTTCTGTCCAGGCATGCAAACACTGGTTCATTTCATTCTTCAAGCAAATCTGCAGCAGTGGTGGCGGCAGGGAGAGGGGGGTGGGAGGGTGATTACTATACCCACTTTACACATAGGTAATGGAGACCAGTGTACAGTGGTGGTGACATGACCATAGCCCAGCCACTATCCCATCCAGCCTCCTCACATGTGCTTAAGAGGACCCTCAGCTTGCAAAGTGTAGGTCAGCCTCATAGTTCTGGTGAGTCCATAATGCCAGCGCTGATGATGTAAAAATAAAAAACAAACAGAAATGCCAGGTACAATGCCCACTTGGGGTACATGCTCAGGTCATAGTCCTCAGGTCATAGCACTTGATGGTTTGGCAAAGTGTCCCCAAGCCCATTGCCAGCCAAGTCCATCGAGGCAGGCAAAGTAACGTTGAATTATCACCCCTATCTTACACCAGGAAGAAGCCAGCCTCAAGACCACTGGTCAGTGAGAGGAGGATGGAGCCCTGGTCCAGGTCCTCCCACAGAACAGCCCAGTCCTTTCACGGGCCAAGCATACACTACACACGTGGAACACCTGCACTCAGTAGCGTCTAATTCAGCTTTATTGGGAGGCAGCATGCCTGTGGGAGAGCCAGGACTGGGGCTGGGAAGGGGCGAGGGGCTGCCTAGGATACTGTCCCTTCAAACTGTCCTTGGGGGACAGCTCTGCAGCCCACAGGAGCCATGGCACCAACAGGGTGGCTGGGCAGGCAGACTGGGGGGAATTGATGTCTCAGGCAGCCCCAGGAGTCGGAGTGGTTGCAGCCTCAGTGGTCAAATCCCAGAATTCGGAGAGTTTGCCTGCAACCGTGCTGAAGTAGTCTTTCAGGGAGCTGATGCCAACATCCATCCAGCCTCTGGGATGTGGGAAGAGAAAGCAGCAGAGGTGGGCATGAGGGCTCGTTCAAGGCATGGCCCCTGGTCTACATTACCCTGAAATGTCCCCTCCATGTTCTCTGTTGGGTCTCACATAGAGGCCTTCAATGCTGGCACCCCAGGCAGAAGAGAAGACATAAGCAGGGAAGGGAGGGAACCCCAGCCCAAGCCTAACCTCCCATGTCCTGCCAGGCTGGGGGAGGAAGGCACAAAGTTCTAGGAGGGGTTACTGTGCGAGATCCTGGGGTTATATAGCCTGTAGGTAGCCAGCCCAGAGGGGGCAGGGGCAGGGCTGGAGGGCATACCTGGCCTGCTGGGCCACCTGGGATTTCTGCATGCTGCTCAGTGCATCCTGGGCCGTCTTGGTGGCCTGCTGCATGTACTCCTGCATGACGCTGAGAAGGGAGGTGTCCTCGGCCTCCATGGCTTCTACAGGGAGATGGGGGCTGAGCAGGTGACTTGATCCCCGGGCTCAGCCCTCAGTTCCTGCCTGGTCATCCCCAAGGCCTGGGATCCCTCCTCCCCATCATAGCCTCTCTCCACACCACCCCCAGCCCAGTCCCCCACATGAGGGCTTACGGGCAGAAGCCAGGAGCACCACGAGGGCCACAGCCAACAGCACCCAGGGACGCATGGCACCTGTGTTCCTGCTGGAAGGAAAGCATCCCATGGGGTACTGCCAGCCCCTCCCCCACGACTTGTGGACCCTTTTCTGGCAAGCTGTGGCCCCTCAGGAGACCAGCCCCGGCCCTGCTGCTAGCATGCTGTGTGATTGAGTGGCAGGCAGTTCCTCTCCTGGCCTCAGGTTTCCGCTCTGGGTGTCTAGAGCCCTCAGCACGTAGAGCCCAAGGAAAGCAGGTGGGCATGCAAGCAGCTCCAGATCTAGCTCTGCCCCGACCCTCTGCCTGGCTTCACACAACTGGTTACCCCTTCCCATGCCTCAGTTTCCCCCAGGATGCCATGGCAGGGGGCTGTTCATCGGATCTGGCAGCTTCCTTAGCTCCTGCAGGCTGTTCTACCAGGCTTGGTGACCAGGGAGCCTCCAGTCCCTCTCTCTGGCCTCCTCCTGCCCAGGGGCATTACCTGGAGCCGCTGCCTTCAGGGAGGAACAAAGCTGTCAGGCCCCAGGCTGTGGCTCTGGTTTATATGTCCCTAGGACACTGGGCACTGAGGGCCCAGCTAGCCGGGCAAAGGTCACCTGCTGACCAGCGGAGGTGGCTGGGGCCTGAGCCAGGAAGGTTTGGAGTGTCCAACTGCCAGGAAAATTGAGAAATCCTTGAGTGAATGTGCCCACGCTGCTTGGTGCCACTAGCCCTGTGGGCAACACAGGTGGGCTCAGCAGGTGGATGTTGGCCTGGGGAAGATCCTATTCCTTTCTGTCTGACCGGCTTCTCTCCTGCCCCCCAAAATACACACACTCAGGGAAAGGCTAGGGAGTTAGAGGTAGGCAAAGAGGACCAAGTCCGAGACCTGGAGCGCATCTCAGCCGTTCATACTTTGAATTTTCTGGCCCTTCCCCCCAATGTCCCTTGAACCTGGCAAACAGCCTGGGTGGGAAGGCGGACGTGGGGTGGGGGACTGCGCAGGCTTTGGTGGGTATCCAGCGAAAGGTGTATAGCCAAGGGGATAAGGGGTGATAATACGGCTACTGCCCCCTGCCTGCCACCAGCTTACCACCCTACCCAGCACATCTGCCTTGAGGCAGCCACTACAGGTACTGCTTGCCCTGTTACCACCACCCCCTGCCCCCCCCCCCGGGTCAGGTCAGGGGTTGGCAAGAGAAGAGCAAAGGCCACTGTGAACCCAAGGCCTCCATCCCCCTCCCCCGTCACATCTCACCTTGCCCTCTGGACCCACTGATAACAGTCCCGGGAGAGGAGCTCAGCTCATACCTGCCACCCACTCTCCCCCAGCCCTCCCCTCGAACCAGGAGCCCTCCCCTCTCAGCTCCAGCTGTGTGGGCGCCCGGAAGGAACAAGGGGTGGGGAGGTCAGGCTGGTGAGTTCTGCAGGGCAGCCATTGGCCAGGAGAGGCCACCAGCCCTTCTCGGAGCCAACCTGCCTGCTGGGCTCACACTGGCACCGAGGGACTGGGGCTTCGAGCTTCCGGATGCTGGGACTTTGGAGCCAAGAAATCCTACGCTGAAATATCACCTTGGCCTTACTCATGTGACCCAAGGCCAGAGCCAGCCTCAACTTTGTCTGCTGTCAAATGGGGACAGAACATGGATTTGTGAGAGTTGTGGTGAGGAATACGCAAGCTGTAGACCGAGAGGCTGGTCCAGGAGAGGACCGGGCAAATCTTTCTTCTATTCTCCGGTATGCTGCACCCCATTCCCATCCTATCTGAAGGCCGGAGTCCCTGCAGCCAGAGGCCTGGCCTCACACCTTGGCATTCTTTATCTGGGGCAGACACTTGAATTGTCTGCATCAGACATTCACTCCTCAGACTAGCCTATGTCTGTTAAAATGCAAATGATCAGGAGCAGAGCATGGTAGCACAGCTGGTCAAACCAAGGCTTGGGGATGCCCACATCCCAGATCTGAATATCTGGTTCAGGTTCCCGCTACTCTGCATCCCATCCAGCGTCCTGCTAGTAAATCCTGTGAGGTGGTAGGTGATGGATAGCTTGAGTGCTTTCTTTCCTACCCCTGTGGGAGACCAGGGTAGAGGTCCAGGCTCTAAGCTTCAGCCCACACAGCTAAGCCCAGCCAACTGCTGGAGGCATTTGGGAATGGACCAGATAACTCCCCATCCTCCACTTGCTACTTGTCACTCTGCCTTTCAAGAAGATGAGAATATTCTTTTTTTTTTTTTCTTTTTTAAGAACACACTTAGAATCCAGTAGACTATATAGGCCTGTATGCATAGGTAAGAAAACTGAAGCTCTGGGGCTGGCCCCCATGACATAGTAGGTCAAGCCTCCTCCTGTAGTGCTGGTAACCCACTTAAGTGCCAGTTTGAGCCCCAGTTGCTCCATTTCTAATGCAGCTCCCTGCTTATGGCCTGGGAAAACAGCTTAGGAAGACCCAAGTCCTTGGGCCCCTACCCTCATGTGGAAGACCCAGAATAAGCTCCTGGTTTAAGATTGGCTCAACTCCAGCCATTGTGACCACTTGGGGAGCCAAAGATCTCTGGTTCCAGATGTCCTTCTCTCGGTAAACTCTGCCTTTCAAATAAAAATAAAATAAATGACAGATGGGGACCTGAACCCAGCTCTTCCAACACTCGGGGCCCCAGACCCTTAGGGACTCCCAGGCACCTGCACCTCTGAGCTGGGCCAGGCAGGGCAGGTGTGTGACTGAGAGAGCCCTGAGGGTCTGGGGCTCTGGGGAAGGCAGGGACCCACTGGGCCCACCTTCTCTCCTGCTGCAGCCTGCTCCTTAGCCCTTGGGGGTGAGGGGCACAGCAGGGAGCTGTGCCGGGTAGGTGCCAGAATGGGCTGTTGGGCCACTGGGCCCCAGGTTCTCTAGTGCTTTTTCCATCCATGGGGAGTGTCGGGAGTAACTGGTCTCCTGTCTCCTGGGCAATGGTTGGAGAAGCCCAGGGCACAGGCCTACACAGCTGGGATCCAGCAGGCAGCCACAAGGCCCAGGACCTCACTCTTTCCACCGACTTGGTACCTTGTAAATGTGGATGTCACAGTCAGCAGCCCTGGGCTGGGCTGGGTACCCTCCCAGTGGCTGCCCCTGCTCCTCCATGACTCCCCCCCACAGAGGCAGCTACTACTGGCCTGCAGACCCTGCTATAGGTGTAAAGCAGTGGACAGAGGAGCAAAAAGGGGCTTGGCCAGTCAGGGCTGCAAATTGTCCCCAGGGATGGGGCTGATCTGCTTATAGGCAGGGATCCTCAGGTCACAAGCCAGCCGCTGTGGTGTCCTGCCCCCCACCAACCACGTGGTCAGGCAGCCACCACAAGCCCTTGTCTGCTTTGCCCCCCGACACTGCCTACTCCTGTGTCTTACCCAGTCCCTTTCCTGTGACAGCACAGGCTGTTTGGGGGAACAAGCCTGCCTGTCCTCTGACTGAGCCTGTCCTCTGCTAGGCCTGGGCTGGGCACCCCTGCTTGGTCCCTTGGGTAGAAGGACAGGGGAAGCTACAGGTGGTCTTCAATCAGCGCCCCCCAGGCATTATTGGTCAGCCAAAGAGTTAGAGGCTCAGAGAATGGCAACCCGGCCCCACCATGCCCAGTATCCCTGGCCTTAGGGCAAGCGTAGGTGCAGGTCAGGCTTTTTCTCTTGGCCTGAGCTCTGGGCCCAGACATGGTGCAAGCAAGGGGCATTCTTTGCCATTCGGCTCACCGCCTGGCAGACAGTCTCGGGCATGCGCACACGATGCAGGTGCTCCCCTGGGGTGGCTGTGCCTGGGTGGGTCAGCTAGTTGGAATGTCTGTCCATGCTGAGAGCACCTGCTGCTCAGACTGCAAGGTCCCGGGAGGTCAAACTACAGCTGAGGTGTCCCCTGTGACTCATTCTCCTCAGCCCAGGCCCTGGGGAAGGAGCCTGGCATTCAGAACCGGCCTTTGCTGCCACCCCAGGCTGGACTGTGGAGTGAGAGTGAGATGGATGAGTTGGGCCTGGTGCCAGGGCATAGCAAGTTAAACCTCTACCTGTTGGCACTGCCATTCCATAAGGGTATCAGTTCAAATCCTGGCAGTTCCACTCCTGATCCAGTCCCCTGCTTATGGTCTGGGAAAGCAGCAGAGGATGGCCCAAAGCCTTGGGCTCCTGCATCCATGTGGGAGACCCAGAAGAAGCTCCTGGCTTTGTATCAACCCAGCTCTGGCCATGGCAGCCATTTGAGGAGTGAACCAGCAGATGGAAAATCAGTCTCTCTCTCCTGTCTCTCTCTTACTCTCTCCTTATTCTCCCTCTCTTCCTTTCTTGCTTAACTCTGTCTTTCAAATAAAAATAAATAAATCTTAAAGATTGGTGAGTCAGTGGTACAGCAGGGTAGTAAGCCTTTCTGGTGTGAAACTCACCATGTAATGAACACCTACTACGGCCTGGCCAGGCCCGGTTGCAAGCATCACACATATGGCATCCCGTCGTCTTCAGAGCCCATGAAACGGGGCTGCGTCATGTCCCACAGAGGCTACCAGGACACCACACAGGTGTGGACCCAGGGAGTCTGAACGCAACAGCCCCTGAGACATTGTCTGGGCTGCTGAGACGGGAGTGAGCTTACGGACCCCAGAGGCAGCCAAGCACAGGGCAGGGCGGACACCCGGTAGCAAGGGGGCTGAGACCTTTTAGCCATCTTTAAGCTGGTGAGACAGTGAGCCACCTGCAGGATCTGATAAAGGATGAGGCAGTGAGTCAGGGTCAGCACAGCTGGGGACCACACTGCTGGTTGTCATGTGATCATGTAACCGAAGCCCAGAACAATGAGCTGTCAGACAAGCATGCACTCCTGCAGAGTGACCTGAGCTGACCGCAGGGCGTGATCCTTTCAGCTTGTGCACGTAGCCTCAACTGGGGACACTACTAGAAGTCCAAGAAGGAAACCTCGGGCACCAGCTCTTCCCCCTCCATGCCTAGGCAAGGAGGGCCCCCAGGGACTGCCAGACCACATGAGCTGGCTGTTTCTGCCCGGGCAGAGGGTGTGGCTGATGCCAGTGGGTAGCCATCAGACCTCAGGCTGTCACTCACCTTGAATCCCCTTGGCAATTGTCAGCAGCTGGGATCTTACTCTGCTACTGTTCCTCTAGTACACTCCATGTCTAAAGCAAGCAGTGATAAGCATAATAAAAACAGCTAATTTTTCAGCACTCTATGATCCCATTCATAAGCAATATCTCATTTAGTGTGCCAAATCACTCCACTGTACAGAGGAGAAGCTGAGGCTCATGGTGGCATAGCGTGGCACCCTTACCCAAAGGGGGCCCTACCTCCCGGCTGTACCTAGATCCAAACTCACTGCCCCAACTGCAGCCAGGTGCGGGCACAGTCCAGCATCTAGTTCCCTTGGTATGGAGTCAGGGTTGGTGGCAGGTGTGGGGTTGGGGAAGGGAGTTTTTCTCCACTTGGGCAGACAGAGATGTGGACTTTATCCTGTATCCAGGCTGGCACAGAGTCAGAGTTGTCACCCTGGCCCAAGGGGGCTACAAAGACCATGTAGCCCCTGTAACCATCAGCTGCCCTTTCCTGCCCTTGCATGCTGGGTGGGGCAGAGCCGCAGGACTACTCTGGCTGCTCCTGCCTAAGCCCCAGTCTGCCGTCAGCTTCCACGTCGCCGAGGAGTCACTAAAG